CAAGTTATTGCAAAAAAAGCAAAAATACTCTCATGTTTCCTCTCTCTTTGAACAAAGAATCCCTGTAATCTGGGTTGTCTTTCATAGAAATTGTGCTGGTAACTGTCCTGTATTGAAGAAATGAAAGGTACCATGAAATGAAGAAAAGATGTCAAAGTAGTGAGATCAGTCTTTAAAACTTGAAAATATTCAATTTCTGAATCTCCATTTAAATAATTATTTCTCAAGAATTTTACAAATGTCTCCTCCCAAATGTCTATTCAAGGTAGAATGTTTAAAATTTGTTAATTTACAAATATTGAGAAAAATACTCTTTGCTTTTTGTTTTTCTTTGCAAATGTAACCTACTTAAACAAACAGTCTGAGTTTCCAATGAACATCCTCCTCACAAATTTTTGAATGATGAGGATGCTTTATACAATGTATAATTCAAAATGGGTAGAATAAACAGTATCTACTATATGAATGGAGAGAGATGGGATAGTGATAGAAACTTTGGGAAAACTTTTTGCACAGAGCAGTTGAATTCTAAATAGAAACATTGATATGGTTGGGAGAAATTGAAAGGTTATTTTAGGCTGGGAGAAAACTTATGGCAAAGGTGTATTTGGTTGAAATGCGAATTCTTTTTTTTTTCTTTTTATTTATTTATTTTAATATTTACCATTTTTTAATTTTTTTAGACAATATTTGCTTCCCCCCACTCCCTCAGATTGAGTCCCCATAGAATTTCCTTCCCCATGGCACCCATGCACCATCACCACCACAGTCCCCTGTGCTCCTCCCTCCCTCTGATCCCTCTCCCTCCTCCTCCCCTGCAGTATGTCTCTGATTTATAATTGTCTGCTTTTGCTTTGTTGTGTTTTGTACTATTATTTTTTTTTACACTGATGTCTTATTTGGTTCCCCTATATTCCTGTTATAAGTGAAACCATCTGATATTTTTCTTTTTCCTTCTGGCTTATTTCACTGAACATAATTCCTTCTAGCTCCATCATGTTGCTGCAAATGACAAGAGTTTATCTTTTTTGATTGCTGAATAATATTCCATTGTGTATATATACCACATCTTCTTGATTCAGTCACCTATTTTTGGTCATTTGAGTTGTTTCCAGGTTTTACCTATTGTAAATAGTGCTGCAATAAACACAGGAGTACAGGTGCTCTTTTGAATCAATGTTTTTGTGTCCTTTGGGTCAATCCCTAGTAGTGGAATTGCTGGGTCATATGGTAGCTCCATTTTTAGTTGGTGGAGGAACCTCCACACAGCTTTCCACAGTGGTTGGACCAGTTTGCACTCCCACCAGCAAGGTAGGAGAATTCCTTTTTCACCACAACCTTGCCAACATTTGTTGTTACTGGTTTTTTTAATATATGCCATTCTTACTGGTGTAAGGTGGTATCTCATTGTGGTTTTGATTTGCATTTCCCTGATTATAAGGGATGTTGAACATTTTTTCATATGCCTGTGTGCCATGAAATGGAAATTCTTAAAAAGGAGGAATGATGTTGACAAATCAGGATGGGTCAATTTGTAGGTGTTTTTCAATGTCATAATAAGGAATGTTGTAGATTTTCTTCCATAATTAATAGAGAACTATGAAAGTGTTAAAGGATATAATGATTTGACAGTGTAATTTAGGAAAATTGCCTTCCCAGGAGACTGGATAGGTGGCCCTGTGTTGCTACATGCTGTGAGATGTCAGGGACCTGGTCTAATGCAGTGGGAATGTCAAACAAGGAGCTCTGATAAATTCTTCAAACACAATACAGCATAGTATTGGTGTAACAAAGGAGGTGAAGGAAGCCAATGCATCAGAAATGACAGTGAGGCTTCGGTTTGGGTTACTGGGAGAATGAAAAATACACCAGATGGCAGAAATAGGGAAGTCAGAAGAGAAAATTTGGTTAAGTCAGAGGAAGGAAAGCAGTAAAAAGTACGTGGGGATCAGCTCTGTTAGTGGAAATTTAAGGTGAGCTCCAGTGTGTCGTTTTAAATTGCTTGGCCACATTCAAAGGTATGAATGAAGTTATATTCAATAATACTTGCTTTACCTTGATGTATTAAAAATATGATTTCAACCTATTATCAAAAAAGTATCAATGAAAAGTATTTACTTCCTTTGTCTCATACTGAGTTTTTGAAATGTGGTGGTATTAACATTTGGAGAACACCCTGATCTAACTAGCTGCATTTCAATGATCAGCACCTTTGGCTGGTAGTTACCATGCTAGGGTACAGCATGAGATAATTTAATGGAATTAACAAAGATTATGTAGTAAATATCTCATTTAAGCCAGTGCTAAGAATCACTATTTTGAAACGTATAATGCTGTGTATATTCTTCCTCTTCTGTATTTAATTACTACATAATTAACAAAGATTATGTGGTAAATATCTCATTTAAGCTAGTGCTAAGACTCACTATTTTGGATAGTATAATTCTGTATATTCTTTCTCTTCCTCCGTTTCTTTTTAAAACTATTTCATATTCAAATTGTTCTTTTTAGCAGGACATAATTCTTTCCCAGAAGCACAAAGAATTGTAGGACTATCCATACTGTTTCATTGCTTAGGATGGCTGTTTCAGTTAATCCTCCATTTGCCTTACGACTTTAATTAAACAAATCAGTCTCAATCTTCTTTTTCTTTTTCTTTTGTCAGTTTGAAAACTCTTGATTATAAAGTAATTTAGCAATATGTTCTCAAAAATCTTGGAGAAATGACATTTAGAACTTTGGAAATGAAGTTGCATTTTTCATGTTCCCTTGTCTGCATCTGTGTGTGTTTCTCCAGTGTCTAATATCTGACGTAAACTTGCTGGATTTTCAATCTTCACTATATGCTAAAGAATGCAGTACAAAAGGGAGCCTACTTCTATAGAAAGCACGCCAAGGACATTGTGTTCCATCTTTACAATGAAATGCAGATTTCCCATTAAAAGGCAAATCCATCATTTCAAAAGGGTGAATAGGATGGTGCATTTTAAAAAATCCAGCTGCTTAAATTTAGGGCATTGAAAAACATGCAATAAAAAAAAAGTTCCCTGGTCTCAAGCATTTTTGTTTGATTGTATATTGGATAACTCTTCACTCAGTCTAAGATTTTGCCTCTTAGATCCCCATCGTGAAATGTCTGACAAGTATTTCAAAGAAGTTAGACTCAACTGTAATACTTCATTTATTATTTTACTGTTTAAAATATCCTTGGATTTGCTAAAATATGATCAATTTTTGTAGAAGAAATCTTGGAATCTTCTCACAGTACCTTCTTCTCATGTTTATTCTTAGGGTTCTCCCACTCCCATTTAGTTTCTTGTTAAAGTATTTTCTTTGAGGATATTGTCTGATATTGCAGCCATTTTGTTCTCCAGGAACTTCCTTCAACTTCTGCAGTCATTTATCTCTCTTGGCCTTGCTACTCTAATGTGCTGTGCCCAAATAATCCATGATTAATTTAGGAATAAAGCGTGGCATAGTCACAAAAGGAAAAAGAAAAATACTGATTGATGTTGTTTATATGTGGAATATAGAGAAACCAAACAAAGGGTCAGACAAAGACAAACATTGCAGCCAACCCTTGAAAGCTGAGTCATCTACAGGAGGTGAGGAGGATCACTGTGGAGTAAGAAAAACAATGGACTATGGGTGGGAGAGGTAGGGAGACTACACCTGAGAGGGGAAATCCTATACTTTCAAAATACCAGCAAAGGTGTAAAATGGCATTAAAAATAAAACTAAAATAAATAAAACTGCCTTCCCCACCATAAATATATAAATAAGCAAAAATAAAAGGAGTGGCAAAGTCAGTGATTCTACCTGCAATAGCTCTTTTTCGGGTCAACAGAAAACATGGTGGCCCCACAGTAAGCTGAAAAGTTGTGTTCCATCCATAAACCCAGCCACAAATTCCCAAGTGGTGCTGTAGAGCCTCAAGGACAAAAGGTTTATGTCAAACATCTCTACGGTATGTATTTAGGCATTAATAGTTGCTTATTAAAGGTTGCAGAAAAGTCTCCAAGTTCCCCTCCTCTGGAATCTAATATTACTTTTTCTCAGCATTAGCTCTGGAGATAGAGTCTGAGACCATTCAGTGGACTACTGTTTAACAAGGACTCTACTAAAATGCCCCTGGTAGTAGATGTCAAGTCTCTTCAACTGAGTGTTTGGCACTCTCCTGTTATGCTGATTATCAGGCTGATTGCCCCTGCTTCAGTCCCTAAAATTAAATGTTTCTTATGATTCTTTGGCATTCAGTATGTTTTATTAACACCAGTCCGATCCCATTTGCAGACCTCCCCTCTCCAATGTCCATTTTCTTCCTAAAGAACGGTTCATTTTAAAAGAAAATCTATTCTAGTAAAGATCAGTTCACTTCTAATGGATTCTTTTCTTTTTTTTTTTTCTTTTCTCAACTGTTTTATGAATTGTCTCCTCCCCCCCAGGCCTCCATTTTAGTCTATACCCTAGTAAGGGAAGTATTTTCTGTGTTGTATCATAGTTTATAGGGGGTATTTCATACTGGGGTCCTTGTGCTTCTAGTCCCCTGCCAGCACTGGCTATCAAAACTGCTTAGGCTGCAAATAAAATATGAAATGAAATCCATCTGGCATTTCTCATTGAATTAGGACCAGAACATTTTTGTTAAATATTAACAGATGGTTAAATTCTTAATATCAAACTAACATTTTAAAACATCTAAGGGGACCCACATGAGGAAGAAAGGATAGACGACCATGTGTTTTCTACATTGCTGAGCCTTTCCTTCCTGTACACTTTCCCTCCCTCACCCTTCTAAGCCACGTGTTGAGGATCACTGGAGTCTCCTCTGTCAGATAACTTGGTGGCTGGTATCAAAATAGTGTGTGATAGCATCAAAATATTATAATCAAATGTCAGTCATCTCAGGTGATGTGTTTCCATTGGCATGCTTCAAGATTTTTTTATTAAAGCCAAATCTCTCTCTCTCTCTCTCTCTCTCTCTCTCTCTCTCTCTTTAGGAAAAAGAAAAGAAGTACATGCTCCCCTTGGACAACCTGAAAGTTCGGGATGTGGAAAAGAGCTTTATGTCTAGCAAGCACATCTTTGCACTCTTTAACACAGAACAAAGGTAAGAAAATGATGCAGCGTCTGTCTTCAGATTATCTTTCCCTTGAATTTCTTCAGCTTGATCCAGAGATTATATTTGATAACTCCCTTGAAATTTGTTAACTCCTGTTTTCCTTTATTTTGTAATTTTATCTTCTACCAAGGGTTATGGATTCAAAAGATAAAAATTTAGAATGAGAAAAATCATCAAATATTAGGGTATTCCCTGCTTTTTCAGCAAACGGCAAGGTCATGCTGCTTCCATTCTTACACATTCTGCTGCTATGAAGCTTTTCTTTTCCTGCATAGTTAAAACTGACAAATTACTTATGATTTTTAATAGTCTCTGTCTAACTGATGAATGTATATCACTTAAGATTATATATATTATATACATATATATCATGACTAAATTCTTACATCAGTGAATAGAATTATTCAGTTAATGTGAATATGAATATAATATATAGTACTTTATAGCTTTTTAAAGCATTGTCCACTTTCATTATCTGGTTTTTGGTAACAATTTCCCATGATGTGAAAAAAATAGTATGGTTATAAACTAGAAACTGTAGCTTAGAGATGTTAACTGTTGTAATATATCACAAAACTGGTACATGAAGAGTAGAAACCTAAATTCAGACTTCTGCATCTAAATATACTTTTCCTTCTGCCTGTAATTCTTTTGCTTTACCTTTTTTATTTTGTCTCTCTTACAACAACAAAATTTTATTTGGGGAAGATTATTGTCAAGGGCCATGAGTGTCCAATGAAACTAAGCAGGAAAGCTAAACAAACACATGGAGAGGTAAGAGGATGGGATGTGAAGAGGCTATAACTAGGAAAGGATAGTGCATGACAGATATTTTCCAAATGGAAATACTATAGGAAAAAGCTAATTAATTGTTCTGATTCCATTTTGAAGACTTAATCATTAAGTACCGGGGTCTAATTTTAATTTTAACCCATCTCTCCAGTCCATTTATCTTTATTTAGCAATGAATAAAGTTCCTTTATGAGGTTCAAGGACTGACCCAGGGTCAATCACACAGTGAATGAAAATAGTAAAAGCAGCCGTCCTCTATTCCCAGTTAGTTGCTCAGAGGGACTCATTATACAAAATACTTTATAAAACCACAAGAGCAAGGCATTTAAAGAGTCCAGAAGAAAGAAAATGAAATACAACTCCCTACCAAATGCTTAAATGGGATTTTTAAAAAAGATGTAGTATTTTTGAGATTAACTTATAGAGAAAAATACTGAAAATAACAAGGAATAAAAATTTTCCTGGAGAGAGCGGGTAGTATGTCCTGGTACTAGGGTCATGCTGCGAGCTGTTAATGCATTCCTCAGAGCAGGGGACAAGTGCACGGTCCTAAGGGAAACTTTAGAGGATGCACAGCCTTCTTGCCTGCTTACAGAGTGGGAAGTGTGACTACCACACTCTTTTGAACCTTTCTGTGACTAGTTATTCTATTTCAGCTGGATATTGATAGCTGTATCTTATTATTTTCATGTTCTACTATTCCTCTATAGCCTGACTTTAGCTGTGCTTTGAGAAGTCAGCTGTCAATCTTGTTAACACTTCTTTTTATAGCTAATCTATATTTCCTCAGTGGTTGATTATAAGATCTCTTTTGTCTTTGAAATTCTGAAGTTTCAATATGATGTGTTTATGGATATGATTTGCTTCCTATTTCCTGCTTGGGATTCATTATGTTTCCCAAACTGAGTGTTCATGATTTTCATAAATTCTGAAAAACTACATCCTTATCTCTTTGATTTTTGTCCCTTTTCATTTCTTTCTTATTTTTCCTTCTTGAATTGCTATTATGCATATAGTAGACCATTTACTCTATTCTTCACATACATACCCCTCTATTTTGCATACCCCTCTATTTTGCCCTCTTCATCTGTGACCAGACCAAAATGACAAACAAATTGTCTGTATCTTTCTTTTCTAGTGAATGTATTTTTCCCTAGTCCATCCTTTTTCTGGCATTTAGACAATCCTGGTTCTCACACAAATACCAAAGTTTCATTTCCTATCTTTTTGTAGCCACTAAAATCCTAGTCTTTTGGTTACTAAAACTGACATCATTCAGTGGCAAAAGTTATAAAAGATGTATTTCATTTTGTGTTTTGATGGGGGAACGGGGTGGCTCTTAACGACTTCTCCATTTTAAAGACAGTTTAGGCATTTAAAGCAATATTTTTCAACATTTCTAGATATCTTGTAGGAAAGAGTTTTAAAGTTTCCATTCTGACATTTTGGTTGAAATGAAGTGACCTTTCACTACCACTGTATTGTACAGACACAAAACTACGTTCCTGACTTCCTCCCAGAAGTGAGAATTGTGATAAAATGAACCTCAAAGGCCAACTTGGGGTTCTCTGTGTTTACAGATATGAATGTTTTATAAATGAGAGAAAAAACCCAAAGTGCCCCTGCTTTCTCATTTAGTTTCTCAATAAGCAACTGTTTATTCTGTTATTCATTCTAAAATATTTGTTGTGCATTTCTGAATTATGACTCCTGCATGTCCATATTGTTCTCTAAATGAAATGCTAGATTATGATCTTGTTTTGCATGCCATTTATAACCGCCAGTGAGTGTCAGACAACATTCATTTTTCACTGACCTTAACACAGAAAGTTTAAAAAATCAATGAGGAGATAAAAAAGGGAAAAAAAGGTAGTCTGATTGAGCAGATATTACACAGGGGACAAATGGGTTTACGCATATAAGGGAGACATTTAACCAGCTTATATGATAGTGTACTCCATGTCAGTACTTAAGTACTGGAGTAGCAAAAAGCATAGGGTTTAGCTTCAAGGAATAGTAGGCAACATAGAAGGTAACTGTCATTGGGTCTTGGCAGGAATTGATGGAAAGAAAAGAGAAAGGAATATCCCAAAGGGGAATCATATTAGTCAACTCAAATGAGTAGAAAGTGTTGTTTACTCTGTTGTCAGCCTCTTCTGGATGAGAAAAAGATAATTTCAAAGGTAAGATGGACTCTAGGTAAAAAAAAATTCTTTTTTGTTTCCAGAGGATTTATTGAACTGGACTTACCAGTGAATTTGAATATTTTAATATTCTGTGTAGGAAGAAAACCATGTATCTCAAAAGCCCGTATGTTTAGCATAATTCTATCAACACACTTAAATAATATCCTTTTCATCAGTGAAACTGATTTTGAGGTTATGTTTTAAGTTTCTCTTTGAGACATGTTCTTATAAGAAATTAAGTGTTCTTTCTCATTTAGATGCATTTATCCTTGGTTAATTTAGAAGAAATTTTCTAAATACTTCTATTGGTTTGTATTTTTCATCCTTGTCTTCAACTGTAATGTTTTGAATCATTTAGTCATTCAGCAGACCTATGTGAGATGTATTAGCTTGGGACCAAGAACTCTTGCATGAAAACTGGGGTGGCACTCACACAAGTATAAATGATCGTGGCTTTTAAGGGTCTCTGGGACATTAGAGGTAATCTTTTTTGTCCTCTTTACCTCACAGCTTAAGGAGTGTCCTCTTTACCTCACATCTGAATAGTTAAATGCCTTCCCCATGTCACAGAAGCAGTTGATCCAGCAGTTGATCCACAGAGCTGGAATCCAGGTCTGAGGTCTTCTAATCGAGGGTGCTTCCTGGTAGTATAGTTAGGATATTAATTGTGGAATGAGAATTCCATTTATCATTTTAATTGAAATTGTTCCTAAAAGAACAGCAATGGAGAGCTTTTTAACTTCCTCATAGGTATTTTAGTTTACTGGCAAGTCTTATGAATTGTTGTGGAACTCTTTTAACCTCATTTGTGAAGCCAGATATGGTACTGACCTGTGTACCCTGCTCTTAAAAAACTATGTTAATCATTGCTACTTGTATCAAGCATTGTTCCTCAAAGCTCATTTGGTTGCTATATTTCAACTTTCCACTATAAAATTTAAAGCAGTCGCTCTGTGGTCCCCAATCATCAGGTGTGTGGGAATTGATACATTTACCATCCTTCTTTAAAAGGCCTTCAGTGTCCTGGTGAGTTAATATGATCTTTATGAGTCTAGTGGCCAGAGTTTTGAGCCATTCTAAACAGCGTTTTAGTGCTAAGGCTTTTATAAATGGAAGGAATTGTTACTAGTTGCAGTGACTTCAGCACTTGAGGAGGGTGAATTTCACACCTAGCCTGACTTGACCTACAAATACGCCAGGTAAGAATGTGCGTCCCCGGTCCTCCTCTGGGATGCCTCCTGCGGGCATCCCACATATGTGGAGGAACTGATAGATTGAATACTTTGCCCTCATATTCATGGCATTGACAAACCATGCTGAAAATCTAAGTCAAACAATTCCTGAACTTCTTTGTGGCAGGATTTTTGTTCCATGTGATTTTCTTAGAAATGCCATGTTTTCTCCGGTAGGAGCATATCTAGATAATGGCCTCACTGTGCTGGTCTTTGCTCTCTCAAGGCAGGCCTTTACTTTTAAGGTCATGCTAAGGCCCATTTGGTCCAAGGTATGTCAGCTCTGTAGCCAGCAGAGATCTGTGTCTGTCCAGGGGGTTTGTAGGCAGCCACATGGTATTTTCTGAGCACCTCTTGGGGTTGTCCTGCTCTGTTTTCTTTTAAAATAAAGCATTCTTTCTTTGACGCTGCTTTGTAGCTGCAATTCAGGATATGGCTTATCAACATTACCAAGTGTTCCAATTCACCTCCTCCCCCCTTTTCCTACAGAAAGTGATTTTTAGGATGTTTCACTGCTCCACTTAGACCCCAGCACATTGCTGACACTCAATAAATGTCAAATAATACTGCATTATAGCTTGTGTGAGCTCTTTAGGCATTCTGAAAAGAATGGCTCTTTATTCTCATTGTTGAGTGGTATATTTTTCCACTTGTTAGCTGGAAAGGAATTGGAGTCAGGTTTTCCATTTATATACCTTTATAGCTATGTTTCTATATTAAGACGTGCTTCGAGTTTAAGTTGTTTGGAAAAGTGCTCAATTAAACAAATATGCTGGGT